TTCTGATTTTATTTTTCCCAGATCCTCTTTTGTTGCCAGTTCAGAGAGTCCAGGTGGTTGAGTATCAGAGTGTTCCATCTTGTTTCACTTTGGGGTTGCTGTAGGTGATATGGAAGTCTGTTTTTGAGGCTTGTTTATGTGTCTTCTCATTTCCACAGGGTGGAGGTGGGGGTGCTTCTGGAGCCCACGTGGCTTACCTTCTCTGCCCTAGCAGCTTGGGATGGCAGCAGGGGAGCTTCCTTCTGTGTTCTGGGACTGGCTCAGCTTCTCTGCCCTAGGAGCTTGGATGGTGGCAGGGGAGCTTCCTTCCAGGTGCTGGGTCTGGCTGAGCTTCTCTGCCCTAGGAGCCTGGGATGGAGGCGGGGACCTAAGTGGTGGTTTTTTAAAACTCAGTCCTTCTGCAAGGAAAATGAAAAATGAAGAAAGAATTTCGTCCCCAATTACTAACAATCGCAAATAGTGACTTAGAACTAACTCATTGACCAATGCCAATCATAATAATATGTGGTAAAAGCAAAAATAACAGTATTCAGTTTGTTCTCTACCATACTAAAGCATAGTCATTTAAAACCCAGAGGTAAAATGCTATATGCTATAACATAAACATATAGTCCCTGCCCACATTAATGGTACAAGAGTCCACAGACCTTTAAAAAGACATACAGACCATTAGAAAAGCAACACTGTTATACTGTCAATTTCATCTAAACAAAACCAATGTACCTGCTACCTTTATTGTTTTGGTTACCTCAAAACAGTTTTATTCATACTAATATATGGATCATGAAAGCATATTTAAATATTTTCTGAAATAAGTCAGAATATTAGAAACATAAATAAACTACCTAAATATGGTTAATATGAACCATTTACTATCAGACTCTTGCTTGTCTCCTTAGAAATAAGAGGAGTATTTGGAAGGCAAGTGTTGTGTCTCTTTACAAAGCTGGAGAATTGCCTGTTTCTCCCAGTAGTTTGCATGAAGCAAGCACAGGCGTTCAAAAATAATTTCACTGACCTTATATTACACTTGGATTGGGTTTGTCTTTATAGTGGTAATTTTGTGTTTAAAGATAACAAGTCTCAACCTAAGAAGCAACTGATTGAAATCCCCACCTTTTCTGTTTCCCTTCCTCCACCTTGTCCCTTTTAATTCTCCCCCAGCCTCTCCCAGAATGTATAGAATAGACTTGAAAAAGAAGCAAAAAGCCAGAAACAGGCCTGAGAATGTGCTTGGAAGAGGAGGGAAGGATCTTTTTCTAACTTTCTATTAACCGCTTACTTAAAGCTCTCTGATTATTCTATTCTTTTACTTGTCATATGCATATGATTTAAAAATAACAATGAAACAATGGTGTAATAATAATAGCTATGATGTTTTAAGGAGATATAACTCTAGGAGGGAAGCAGTGTAGTTTAATGCTGAGCAGAATGGGATTCCAATCCTATTCTAGGGTTTGGATCCTAATTTAGTCACTATGTATACTTTGTGGAGTTATTTAACCATGCTGAGGCTACTACTTCCTCTAGTGTAACTCAGGAATGATGCTGCCTACTTCATAGGTTTCTTGTGAGAATTACATGAGATGCATTATCTCATACAAAGTACATAAATGTAGTATGTGCTCAGTTAATACTGGCTATTTTAAAAACAAATTAGGCAACTCTAAAAGTAGGCTGTCTTGGGTAACTTGAAAAAGAGTTTGTTCATCAAACATGAGTTAAGCTGCATTGCATCCCAAGCAGTGAGCTAGGCAGTCTGTTCTTATGAGCCATCACTCTTGTGGCCCTGTCTGTGGACACTGTAGCTTGCCAATACGTGACAGAGGCTGGTTAACAGAGGAAGACTTATGAAGTCATCATTATGTACTTGTGTTTGCCTTTGTTTCCTATAAAACAAAGTAGATACAAAAATTCTTATAGTGAATAAATAAAGATTTCGTTTTCTGGTGATTGTGACATACAAATGTGAGAATTTCATTAGGAATGAATTACAGGATGCTTGTGCATGTTATTAGCTTACTCAGCAAGTGTTTAATTCACTGACTATGTGATTTCTCTTTTACAACCAATAAACAGGAAATAGTGGCTTTTCTTTTTAGGGAAACACCATAAAGAAAATTAATATTTTGGGTAATTAACAGAGCCACCAGTTAGTCACCATTGTTTTTCTAAATCTATAATGTGCATCATGTGAGAGATTTTTTAAAAACCCAGAACCTATAGCCTGGGGACTACAGCTAGCTTTGAAGGATAATGTTGGTGAGTTATAGTTTGTTGTCTTCTAAATTCTCTTTTCCAGCTCACATATTAGGGTTGTTGGACTGGTGAAATATCAAATATAATAAGAAAATATAAAACATTTGTTCTTTCTCTTATCCTTTCCTCATACATGTACATATACTTTTTATTATTATCACTGTATAAAATCTATCTCCTAGCTGGGTGTGGTGGTGTACACTTGTAATCCCAGTACTCAGGAGGCCGAGGCAGGAGGATTACCACAAGTTCAAGGCCAGCCTGAACTACATAGTGAGAACTTGTCTCAAAAAACAAACAAAGAAAAAGATGTAGATATATAGATATAAAAAAGATACAGATATATAGAGAGAGCTTGTCTCAAAAAACCAAAAAAAATCTATATCTCTATCTACCTATATATATAATATTGAGAACTGTCAAACCAAATTCACAGATTTCCCCCCAGTAATGTATTGCTAGAACATATCTGAATGTACACACTATTTGTGCAGTGGCTTTGAATTTCCTAGATGTGGACTGGAACTGTACTTGCATGTATTAGAAGGAACAGTACTCACTGTAGACCTGAAGCAAGGAGTACTTGCCATGACTTTGGAAGGGTCCAGGGAACATGTAAGGGTCCAAGGCCCTCAGATGCCAGTCACAGTGGGGAATCACAACAGCCTTAGGGCTGGAGGGACCGAGGAAAGTGTTCCCAGAGCCCTGAGATCTAGACCCAGGAGGGGAGGCCACTGCCAGGGAGACTGGGAAAGAAACACCGGACTTCACTCTTCTCCCACTTTTTCATCTGCTGCTGCCTCCAGTTGGCTAAGCTGAACTGCAAATGAGCAGTCAGGGTGCGTGGGAGGTGAACTGACAGTGGTCAGCCTCCTGCATAGAGGAGGGCATAGGATGGATCTGAGTAGGGAAGTTGAAGAACAACCACTGCATATTACTTAACCTTGTTTAAAAATAGAGCCACACCTGCCTTCAGAAATTACAAGAACTCACTATCAAATATGTTTAACAAATGGCCATTCTTGTCACTTTTCTATTTCTTGGGACATCTTTTAATAGCACTCAGCTGTCTCCGCATATTTGTCTGACTTAATCCTGTCTTCACATCGTATCTCAACGAAGTTTTCCCAATCTTCTCAGTTCTCAGTGCTCTCCCTGTACCTTCCTTTGTCAGTTTTTCTTAACATCCATTTATTTTCTTTCTTTCTAAGTAAATGTCCGTGTTGGTCCACTGCCTGTTTGCTATTGGATCCATTGCTTGCTCTTATTCTCATCTGTACACTGCAGAGAGCTATGATGCCTGAAGTCCTTAGCTCTTGGCTTCTGGGTTTAGCCGATAGGAAGCGCTAATGTAAGATTGGATGGAGAGCAGGAAGAGGAGAGAAGCCAGGGTATTTCTTCCTTTCTCTCTCTCTGTCTCTGTCTGTCTCTATCTCTACTTCATCTCTGCTTTCTCTGTTGTCTCTGGTAACATGGAGTCTCTTTGGCTCTAGCTCCTCTCTGGGTGATCCCAGCTCCTCTGGGTAGCACCCTTCACCTCCTACCAAGCAGTACTGGCTTCCAGCCTCTGTAATATCACTTCCTCTCACTATAGACATGGTACTAATTTCTCACTGCTGCTAAACTTCTTGGTGCCTCACTGACCCTTGTTTGGCCTCCTGTCATCTAGGTAACCAATTCCCTGTATTAAATTCACTGAGTTTGAAACACCTGGAGTGTTTCAGTTTTCCTGGCTGGATCATGTAAAATAGGATGTTCTATTTTTCCTCCAAACTGATGGTAAAGTCCTCAAAAGCTGGATGTGGCTGTCTAATTATCTGTTTTGTGTCTATCGTGATTAGCATGATGAAAGCAACATGTCCATCCAGTATTACGCAGGATTGCTGAGGAGGATTTCAGCAAGTGTCAATTAAGGGAGTTGTGTAGGTTACATAAGCCTGGTGCTCTCTGTGAATGTTAGGGTTCTCCTTCTTACAGTCTTCTTGCCTCTTTTTCTTTTCTTTCTTTTTTTGAGTATTAGTACTTCAACTGTAATGCTGATGAAAGGTCTCACATTATGTAATTTCTTCTGATAAAAAGTTCAACAAGTATTGTATTTAGAATATTTAAATCAACTTGATTCTAAATGGCTTGCAAAGAAAGATCATATTGTTCTTAGTCAACAATTTGTCAGCCTACCCAATAAAGCACTGTATCTATACATTCTTTATTTGTATAATATTAAAATATTTGCCAAAATAGGTATTGCTCTGGATTTGTACTGTTTGAAGATGTTCTTTGAGAATTTAGTTACCTAAAGCTTTTAAAAAATTATCTCACATGAACAATAAAGAGGTATATTATTATTTTTCTTTCAGAGATGATCTTGACAGAAAACTGCAAGCTATTGCTGTTTCAAAACTATTGAAAAATTCCTCTAATCAAGTGATATTTCTGGGTTATATTACTTCAGCACCTGGTTCCAGAGATTATCAACAGCTCACTGAACATGGCAATGTAAAGGTAATGCAATTATAATAGGATTTCTGATTTATCAAGTAAAATGCTTCTTTGTTATTCATGTTTTTTAAGAAATGTAGTGTAACAATTTAATAGGTATTCTGATTATCTGCTGTTACACAGAAAATCACCAGGAAACACACTGAATTAAAACAATAGCAGAATCCGTTAGCTCACAAATCTGCAACGTAGACAGGGACTGGAGGCTAGTTCATCCCTACCGCATGCAGATCAGCAGGGTGCTCAGCTGAGACTAGAGAATCTCCTTTGTAGATTTTTCATGGATGGAAAGTTGGTGCTTTAGGCTTGGGACTCAGGTTCCTGTGTACATGTGATTTGATTTTTTTCTCTCCATGGTGTCTGAGTTCTGAGAATGAGTATAGAAGAAAATCAGGGAGAACCTGAATTGCTTTAGATGACTTAGTCACTGAAGACTTACAGTGTCACTTTTACTTTTGTCTTAAGTCTGATCACATTCAGCTGAAAGAAGTATAAGCCTCACCTCTTGATGGGAGAAATACCAAAGTCACATTATAAGAATACCATATATAAAATGAACTATTATTGTAACTATGTTTAGATTATACAGTCTGGGGCTAGGGATTTAGCTCAGTAGTGCTGCTGCCTGCCTGGGCCTGAGCCACAAGGTCCTGAGTTTGATCCCTGGTACCAAAAAAAAAAACCCAAAAGAATATACAGTCTGCCACATTGTGAAAGTTAATTATGATGCTGAGAGTACAAGATAAAATGAAATATCAGGTAGAGAATGGTGGTCATCCAGATAGGGCTCACCACATGACTCTGAGTTAGTCTTTACCTTTTCAGGTTTCATATACTTGAATTCATCAGTGTATCCAGATATAATCAAACTCTGGAAGTGGCACACAATCAAATCCTCAAGAGACACTAAAATGCTAAATGCATTAATTTATAATTAGAAATATAATTGTTGTAGATAACTAAGCCTTATGTGTATTTCTTGGATCTTTTCATTTTATTTTTAACTTCCTGTCTCTATCTGCAGAGAAAAGGGCTTATGAATTTATGTTGATTTGGCTGCTTCAACTCTTGTTAGAGTAGAACATTGGAAAGACAGGTGACAGCATGACATGATGAAGGTTTTCACCATGTGATAGAAAACACAAATGACAGTGGTTCAAATATGAGAGAAGTGTGTTTCTTTGTGTAAATATCTGGGCAGGTGAATCAGCACCAGTAAAGTCACCCAATGGTGTGTCTGGAATTTGTGCTGTTTTATTGTGGCTCCACTCCTGTGGCCTCCACTCCTATGGACCAGTCTTGTAGAATAGCATCCGTGTTCTAGTTAGCATGTTAGAGGAAGGGACCATGAGAATATGCAAGTTATTTAAAGGCAAGATCCAGGAAACTGAGTCCTGACACTTCTTATATTTGTTTGGTGGGAATTCAGTCATACAGCCATGCTTTGGGGCACAGAAGCTTAGGAGATAAAATATTCCATCTTGATGGCCATATACCAGCTAAAGATGCCATGATTTTGGAAGAATGGTACATACTGGGGACATGAGTTAGTCTCCACATTTGTGGACAAGGCAAGGAGTAGTCATGTTAGACTCCTTTTTTGAGCTCTGGTCAGAAGGTTTATGATGATGACATTTATTTGTTTATATTATTATTGTTATTAAGAATACATAAGGAAGAACAGTTTTTCAAAGACATGATAGTTCAGCTTTGGGCTGAGTTTGAGGCATACATGGGACTTTAATAGAGGTGTCCAGCAGGCAGGTAGATACATGGATCTGAAGTTCAGGACAGCCATTGGAACTAGCAATAGGGATTAAGAAATCGCCACAATATGGATGATCACTGAAACAAAGGAAGTGGGTGATTTTGTTTACAGAGTTGGAGAAATACACAAGAAAGACCAGGGGAAGCCCTTGAAAAAGCCACCCTGAATGTGGCTGTTGTGAGGGTGGTGGGTGATGGAAGAGAAGGCAGCTTCTCTCAGGAAGAAGAGTGAGGAGAGCTCAGAAGAATTAGAGGAAAACTGAAGAGTGTGGAGTCTCAGGCTGTATCAGTTACCTATCGCTGTGTAAAAAAAATGCATCAAAATGTAGTAGCTTGAAGCAACATTTCTTTTCCCCACCATTCTGTGGATTGCCTGGGTGGTCTCCTATTCTTCCCTACGTTTACTTGTGCAGTAGGCTCATGACTCTGCTGAGGCTGGAGAGGCCAGGATGGCCCCAGGCATACATTTGGGGGCTGCGTGCTGGGCCTCTCTCCCTTGGTGTGATCCCTCATCATTGATATCTATGCTGGAGCTTCACTGACCGGTTGGGGACAAGTTACTCAGCCTTTCTGGGCCTCAATCTCCTCATCTGCAAGTTGTGATAGTAATATCCATTGTATCATAGAGTTGTTAAAAGAATTAAACATAAAACAATGCCTGCAAAGCCTCTGAGCCTGACATAATGTGTGTTTAATGTGTCTGCCTCTATGTAAAAAATCAAGTAAGATAGAAGTACAAGTACCTGATCTGTAAAGTACAAAAGAAAGTTAGACAAGATGACATATGGCAAGTCTAAGGAAAAGTTGCTTCCTAATTAGGGAGGGTGTGCTCACATTGTGTGTGTGTGTGTGTGTGTGTGTGTGTGTGCGTGTGTGTAAAGGATATACATGGTATCAGGGAAGAACTTTATTTGATTTTTATTTAATCCTCTGTTAGTTTCCACTAGCAAAGGCAAAAGCTGTGTTAAGATTGGCAGTGAATTCTGATACTGCTTTTTATATTGGGGAGTTTATTAATATGGAGAGGAATTTCAATTATAAATGCTTGAATGAACATATTTTTCTTTTTAAAATATGAGTATTTAAATTCTGCAGTCCTAAAATTTGACAGAATCCTTTAAAAACCTAATAAAATAATAGTTAAACAGATATTTAGTTAATTATTCTCAGTATAAATAGCTAAATGACTAAAATTTTTATCTCTTCCTAAGGAAAACTAGAACAGTGCTTTTTAAATTTATTTGCTGTTTTCATCTATACATTTTTAAAATTAATTTTTTAGAAATATCTTCATATATACAAAAATGCTATCCATGTACTATAAATAAAAATAAAGATTAACAAGATTAAGGAATAATTGAAAATTGTTAAATTAAATTTTAATAGTAAAATTCAGAGGCAGTAACAGTCAGGTGTATCTTTATTTATAGATATTTTAAAAGAAGAAAATGAATATTTCTTCCTTCAGTACAAAAGTTCCATATTTATAGTCTTCTCAACACATTACAGAAAAAATATGTTTCTGTTTTTCTCTGAAAATGAAAAATGATCCTCCCTTCAAGCTTTCGATATCAAAAAGACTCGTGATTTCTCCCGAAATGTGTTTATTTCCACAGTTCAATTTAACAAACACAGATTGAGCACCTGCCTGCTGAACACTAGGCTTCATGCTAAATACTCAGCAGCCAAAAGTGATTCCAAGTCCCTGTGCTCAGGAGGGGAGGATGCAGACACAAACAAATAACTGACACTGTGGCGAAGGTGGCATGCATGGAGCATGACACAGGATGATGGGAAAATGTGCTCCATTCTGCTCAGGATGAGAGACTTGGAAAGTTGCAGGGTGCTGGGGCCTATCTTGGAGTCACAGATATACATACCTATCTTATGCCCTCTCCAGACCACCTTTATCTTAGTATTCCCAGCCTCTAGTGCAGAGATAGAGGAGAGCATAGTAGGTGCTCAAGAAACACCTGTAGAATGACCAAATCATTTGGACCCCAAAGGATCAGTAGGGATGAGAAAGAGAAAATAACATGCACAGAGGTAGATTTATCACTGTAGCTCACAGTTAGAAAGGGCATTGGTTTTTATGCTGTGAACATTACCCTCTCTGTTCTTTCACAGGATATCGACAGCACAGATCAGGACAGGTGGTGTGAATATATTATGTATCGGGGGCTGATCAGGTGAGCACAGGTGTTTGGATTTTGGTCTTTTAAAATCTATTCCTGCTGGCCATGGTGGTGCATACCTGTAACCCCAGTACTCAGGAGACTGAGGATTGCCATGAGTTCCAGGCCAGCCTGGGCTACATAGTGAGCTCAAGGATAGCCTAAACTACAGAATAAGACCCTGTCTCAAATAAGTAAGTAAGTAAGTAAGTAAGTAAGTAAATAAATAAATAAATATTATTATTACTGTCATCTTGTGGATTTCTCCTAGAAGGAAAAACCTTATGGAAGTAATTAATTTCTGTTACTTTTTATAAACATTGATTTGGCTAGTTACTCTAATTTTTTTTTTTGAAGGCATGGCCTAATGACTTAAAAAGGATAAATAGCTCAGCAAATTAAGCTTAATTATATAAATGAGGATACTGTGTAAACTATTAAGCAGAATAAGCATATAACTGCCAACGCATGGTAGGAATGGTCCCATTTTTGACTGTGTGGCATGGTGGAAACAGCATGGGACCATGGGATGGGAAAGCCCTGGGCTTCAATCCAGCTTTGTCAGGTTCTAATCACGTCCTCTTAGTTAACTAACTTATTGCAGCTACCTCTATACTATGGTGAAATCTCTGTTAAGTTATATTTTTAAAATATCATCCCATATTGAAAATGATATCTAAGGGTATATACAACAAATATTTTAATATTTACATGTTAAATGTTCGTAATATTATGATTAGTATTTATTAAATATTAATATCGAGTAATATACATTTAGATAGTATATGATTCAAAATAATACAGATGAAAGATCTCAAAATTCAAATATATAACAATACAAATTAGTTTTGAAGGCAGTATTTCTTTAAATAAAGTGAAGAGTGATTTAAAACTAAAGGAGGAAGTAATCATTCACTCTTTTCTATGAGCATTTTTTTATGTACCAGGTATTGTTCTAAGTCATGGGAGTACAATAGGAACAAAACAAAATCCTTGCCAATCATAGAACTTACATTCCAGGGAAAGGAGGCAGAAAATGAACAAATCAGGAAGAGAATGATAGACTATGCCAGACAGAGTTGAGTATGATGAAAGGAAAAGAAGCCAGCCAGACAGGAAGTGGCAAGTGCAATGCGGTGATGTTTGGGCGTGGCCTGAACGGAAGGAGGAGGTCAGCCTGTGCAGAGCCTGGGGGAGCACTTGGCAGGGGCACCAGAGAGTGCAAGGACATGAGGGAGGTGTGCTTAGTGGTTTTTGGTAACAACAAGGAAGCCAGTGTGGCTGGAGTAGAGTGAGAGGGAGGTGCCTCAGAGAGGTCAGTAGGAGCAGATCATGCAGACAGGGCTGGGTTTTTGGGGTTTTTTTTTTTTGAGGATTTAGTGTGATGACCTTTTTTAAAATTTTTATTTATTTATTTTTGTGGTACTGGGGATTGAACTCGGGACCTTGTGCTTCTGAGGCAGGCAGCAGAACCACTGAGCTAAATCTCCTCAGACAGGGCTGGGTTGAGGGTGCCTCCACCTATAGGATTCTTCAGTGCAGAGATCATGCTGGAGACCTCCCTTGAAGCGCCTGGGCCCCTCTGGTGACTGCTGAAGCTGTTTGGAGGTATCTGACAGGAGCCCTCTCACTACCCTCCTAGGAGCAGTATAGGGGACTCTTAGATGGGCTTCTCAGGTGGACCTCTCTGGGCCTTGCTCTCCTTTGTACAGAGCAGTTCACCACCCAGAAGCACCTTGGCCTGAAGATAAGGGCTGATATTGACCTGTGCAATCCTCAAGTAGCTTGGTACCTTATGATCTGTGATCTGCATTTCTGAAAGATAATGCTGCCTTTTAGGGATGATTCAGAACCACAAAGTTGGCCTCTCTCCCAGTGAGGGGATGACTTGTTCAGTTAGGAGAGACAGTTTAGTGAGCAGACTGTTAGGTTCTCCTGTTCTATGCTCCTTTTGTCATTCAGCAAGTGTTAATTGAGCATAATAGATGCCGGATACCAGGAGTATAGCAAGAAACAAAACAGAGAAGATCCCTGCCCTGCAGGAAAGGTGGGTGACAAGCATCATCAATAATTGCATGATGTAGTATTTCAGAAGGTGATGAGTGGGAGGGGAAACTGAGAATATGGATGTGGGTTGCAATTATAGGTAGGGAATTGGGTAAGTCTTACTGACAAGATGACACTGGAGCCAAGATTTAAATGAGTGGGCCACGTGGCTGTCTGGGAGATGAGCCTTGCTGATAGAGATACCAGCTAGTTTCACAGTGCTAAGGCAGGAGCGCTGCTGTATTTGAGAAACAGTGAAGGTAGCAGGGCAGCAGTGTATATGTGTATGGGTAGGAGAGAGGGGAGGCAAGGAGGGAAAGGAGTAGATCCTGCAGATCTGTGGACCCTTATTAAGGACTTTGGATACTGTATTTATAAGGCCATGACCTTCACTGGTCCTCGAACAACCCTTGGGTTCATATGCTCACTGAGGTGGGCCCAGGAGGCCCTTGAGATGGTCTAAGATTGTTTTGGTTACACTAGTGGCTAAGAAACCCAAAAAAGGCCCAAGACCTGCCTTCATGTCTGCAGGACAGATACTTTGAATGCTGTTTTGGCATTTACAAAAAATTTAGGTGGGGATGCTGAAAAATTACTTGTGTAAAGTATTTTATATCTCAAATTAATAACATTGCTTCTGTTTAAATATGGGTAGAAGTGGTTGTTTTGATGGAGAATATCGGAATACATTTTTAAAAATCAAAATTGAAATAAGTATAATTCCAAGTTGCAAAAATTATTGTTCACCAAGAAACAGAGGTATTTACAGTAACCAGTGCCCATAATAGCTAATTGCTGAGTTCTGAGACCTTTCTGAGCTCTCTTTAGGAGAGTGGATGGCTAAAATAAAAGAAACTTATGTTCTTCCAGGTCTGGAGGCTGAGTCCAAGATCAAGGTGCCAGCAAAGTTGGTATCTGGTGAGGGCTATTCCCTTTGGTTGCACATGGCTGTCTTCTTGCTGAGTGCGTCTAGAAAGCTCTCTCTCTGGATCACCTAGTGCATGCCCCACTCTTATAGGTGCTTAATAAATTCATAATGGACAGCAATGGAAGATCCCCTATTTCAGTGGAAGGTTTGTATTGTCAAATCCCTTTTCTTCAAGGAGTTTGAGAATATACTTAAAGGGGATTTCTGTGACATGGGTTTAAACTTTGACTTTAGAGATTTGGGGGATAAATAACCTAGATTTATCAGAGATAATGATTTAGAATTACAAGGAACCACAACTTCTAAAGTTAGGCGAATGTATGAACCTATCTGACAGCTCCAGTCCACCTCTGATGCTCAGTTGTAGCTCTTCTCTTGCCCTTCACGTGGACAGACTTGCTGCCTCTACCTTCTCTTTCTGTGTGCAGTTACAGGTTGATTTAAGCACTCCTCCTACCACTCTGGCTGAAGCTCCCTTCATCTTTCACCTAAGTTATGCAGTGGCCTTTTAATGGGTCGCCCTGCTTCAGTCCTTTCTTCGAAGGCTGTCATAGTAGCCATTGTGCATCTCTGCTCCAAAGCCGTCTAGCGGATTCCCATCTCGTTCTCAGACAGAAACCGAAGTCTTCATAATGGTGTGCAAGGAAGGATTTTCTTTCCTTTTTTTTTTTTTCCTTAAATTCTTTTATTGGTACATTTTAGGTATATAATACATTTACATTTATCATTGGGTGGTGGTACGTGTACACGATGTATCTTGGTTCTTATTTTTTCCCCATTACCTGTGTGCCCTTCACCCCCTCCACCCTTCCCTATTTACATACTTCGTTTCCATTTTTTTTTCTTTTCTCATAATTTTTCCTTTCCATTCTTTCCTTTCCCCATCTTGTTCTACCCCCCCTACCCCTTTGGACCTTTTCCTATTTCAAAGTATCAATTATTAGTTATGAATCCTTTTAGTCCTTATTTATACTCTCAATTTCTCACACTAGAGAAACTATTCAGTATTTACACATGTGTGTCTTATTTATATCACTTAAGAGTATGGCCTCAATCTGCGTCCATTTAGCTATAAATCACTCTAGTTTCTTGTTCTTTATGGCTGAGTAGTACTCCATTTTATAAAAAACCCACATCTTCTTTATCCAGTTTCCAGTTGATGGGCACTTGGGCTGTTTCCAAGCTTTAGCTATTACAAACTGTGCTGCT